ACATAAACTTCGAGGTCAGTACTGCCTAGAAGCTAAAAGAAATCATAATAAGACTTAGTTTCTTTTCATCTTCAAAGTCCTTCGTAAGCCCTAAATCATTCATCCTACCACACTACTGTAATCATGCAATTTGGCAGAGACAGAAGAGCTTTCATCTCTGGATCACAAAGCACCCTATAAATGCCAATTAATCCTTACAACTTTCCTGGGAGGTGACGGACTATCAACTAACCTACTTTGTACATAGAGAGGGTAAGTGACTTGGTCCAACCCACACAGCAAATTGGCAGCCGAAATGAGTGGAGAGGTTGGGCTGGGAGTTCTATTCCTTGGCTTGGACATCTGAGGATCAAAGCCACATCTCTATGTAAAGCACTTGGGTGGTAGCTAGCACATAGCGGATGATAACTTTTGAATGAGTAAGTTGTATACCTGTCTCTCTAATTATCCGCTGAATGTATCTAAGTTCTGTTGAGAGCCTCAATTCTGATTCAAAGTTCTTGTGCAAACTTACTCTCTACCTCTTAAGATTTTTGTTTGTTCATTTGTTTTGCACTATCAGTGATTGAACTCAGGACCTTGTACTTGTCAGGCAGGTACTTAGGCTGCTGAGCTATCTCACTGGTCCCAACCTCTTAGGTTCTTATTCTCCAATAAGAGCATTCACTCCAGCAGAGGCCTTTTTATGCTATATAGATACAGTGGTGTAAGACAGGCAGAAGCCTGCTCTCAAGGAATTTACATTCAGAAAAAAAAAAAAAGGAGACAAAATAAGCAAGAATACCAATAATGTTAGATAGTAAGAAGGATGATGTGACAATTGACAAGGACCAGTTGCTAGAAACCAAGCATCCTCCTGTTGTCACTGTATACCAGGGCTGAAGACACAGAGAATCCTCTTTAATATTCTAGCAATTGAAAGAACGAAGTTTTCACTTGTTTCTATAATAGGCAGAAAACCCTTAGGTCAAAACAGACCTGGTCATTTGTCTTCAGTAGTGAAGAGAACCAAGAAGGTGGCTGTACTTCAAGGAGTCTAGAGATAGGAGAAGCTTGTGAGCCAGGGGCAAGAAAAAAGGCTGGTCCTAGGGGCAGCCACCACCCAAGCATGGCCTGAGGGCACAGCATAGCCCACATGTGCCAACAACGGGCACTTATCTATGTATTCACTCATCTGCCTGTTATTCACTTATCTGTTACTCATTTATCTGTCACTTCATTATAAATCTGTTCATTCATTATAAATTTACTGAGTATTTATTATGTGTCAGGCTCCAGACTCACATCAGCCCACTGTGGCCCCATCGAGTGTCAAGCCAACAATGATCCATTTCTCTTTCTTCTCCCCTTCCCTCCTCTCCCCTCCTCTCCTCTCCTCTCCTATGGTCTCCTCTCCTCTCCTCTCCTTTCCTCTCCTCTCCTCTTCTCTCCTCTTCCTCTCCTGTACTCTCTCTTCTCTTGTCTTTTCTCTCTCTTCTCTCTGTTATATCTTTTTATTATGAAAAGAATTAAAATGTATTACATACATGTACCAACTGTCCACAATGAATTCAATCATTATACACTCCAAACACGTACCAATACAAATTTAAAATTTTTTTGAAACAGAAAAAAAGAAATTATTTTTATGTAGTATTAATGAAAAGGGGGCAAATACAAATAAATGATCAGTAGTTTTTACAGTGAGTTACTCGGCATTGATTGTGTTTTTTAAATAGACTTTATCTCATAGCAGTTTGGGGATGTGGAAAAAAATGAACAGAATGTAGGAGAGTACCCACATAGTCCCTTACCTCATCCGTCTCTCTACCCTTGATCACATACCTGGCTGCTTTCATAGAGAAACCAATAAGAGAACAAGGTACATTAACTCCATGCTTTTCCGATTTCTCAGACCTCACAATACCACTTAATAGAGGAATTCAGGTTGCAGAAAACCTACCTCCTGCTTCTCTGGCTCAGATTTCAGAACCAGCTACACCCATACATAATCTGATCCATGCTTCCTGAGCCCAAGTTGGCAATACTATAGGGGCACACCATCATTCTTCTTGGGATTGCTTCTCTTCCATCCTGGGTTTAACTTAAGGGATTTGAAACAAAAATAGAGTTGCCCCTCAAAGCCGACCCTCCTAGCAATGGTACCAGCAACACTGGGGCTGTGCACTGCTAGTAAACTCAACTATGAAAATGATTTAACTTGCTCAAGGCATGTAAGGTAACTGCAGTGGCCACAAGGCGTGGCTTGGGGAAGTTGCTCGGTAGAGGTGGACTCTAGATTTGTGCTGTCTTTATTCCTTCTCCAGCTCACTGCCGTCTCCCTGGGGAACAGGTGACTCATTTCTGGAATGTCTCTTTTTTCAGGTTCCCGTGTAACTACCCTAGCTGTGCCGTCTCACTTTCTCCACCTTGACCTGCCATGGTGTTTATTCCAGCTCAGTCTTTCTCAAACTTGAGAAACGCTTGAGGGAAAGTTGGAAGCTGTCACTTCCTGTGATCACGTAATACCAACACAGTTACGAATCCAGAAGCAAATTCCTTGGTTATACCATTGTCATAGATACAATAAAAACAGGTTATTTAGGTTCTTTAAAATATTGAAATATTAAGTATACTCAATATCTTATGATTAATAAAATAGTGAATCAAATTTTGAAATTAGAAAATCAAAGTTTTAAACCTCTCACTGAATTCACAGATCTCCTGATAATTCATGGCCATCCATTCCTTCAGGAATACTCATAGAGGTGGGTGAGGATGTCTTTCTCGTTCTCACAGATAGCTAGAGGGGCCCCCTTGCTAAGACACCAGTTGCCCTGTGGAGTGGCTGTACACAAGGAGGAGAGGGTGACTGAATGCTTGCTCACTTGGTGCAAGACTGGTTAAGCACTTTGTATGTTTGCATGGTTTATGTAGTAATCCTTCCGACAATCCTAGAAGCCAGGTATTATATTTTCTGTGCTTTTATTGATGAAAAAATGAAATGGAGAAGTTAGATCATTTGGCCGTGGTCACACAGTAAGCCAAGAAACCCCACTGTGGCAAAGGCCCAGGCTCCTAACCTAAGCATTACAAATGGTTGTTTCTGTCTCTCGCTCATGCCTAGTGACAGGCATTAGCACACCTGGCCTTGGTTCTCCCCACCTCCTCTCCATCCCCTCACCCCAGCAACAATTCTGAGTACCACACAAAAGCCTACATGGTAGGCAGGGCTTGGGGCCCTTGATAACTGCTAATTGCACATTTGTTGGCTTGTTATGAAAGGGCAAAATGTTATAACAATAGAAATGAGTGTACTGTTATTTGTTTAAATTATCCTTATCGTTCTGTTTTCCACTTCATGGATAACTGAATCTTAGCCAGAACAAATCCAAGCATGTTGACTGTCTACTCTTGACAGTACAATGAAGGAGTCGAACTCAGACCCATATCCCCAAATAGGTCCTGATGTTCCTTTTCCATCTCCCCTGACACCTCTATCCTGGTAAATTTTTTAAGAAACCAGTCACCTCCATTCTATACTGGAGATAAGCTTTGGAGCCAAAACACTGAGACTGATGAGAGGCTTCAACCCTGGCTTGGGGTGGGAGGGCGGTGCCACTGACCACTCAGCTCTCTCTGTGCTCCAGATTTCAAGAGGTGCTGAGGAATACCCCAGAGGCCCCCCTGGCTCCTGAACAGTAGCCTCAGCATCTACCCACCCCCAGCACTAGGACAGCCTGTGGAGACCCATGATTAGAAAAGCACATGTTGCAACATGATTAAACTTGTCAACTTAAAGGGGCATTAAATTCAGGAAATGAAAAAGAGACGAGCCATATTGCTTTACCTTTGAGACCCCAGATAGTATATTTATATGGCTGCCATGGGGTTAACAATGTAGAGGTGCTTCCGGGTTTGGCAGAATCTAACCTGCATGTCTATTTTCTTGTTTTCCGGTCTAGAATCGTCTCTTTGGGGATTTGAGTGCTGTCTGGTGCTCAACTTTCCAGTCAGAGAACTTCAAACCCCTCTCTGGAGACACTCCTGGATAAATTAGTACATCTGATTCCTCTTTTTCACTTCACCTCATTGCCCCTGCTTGTGCTTTGGGTACTAAGCTAAATATGTCCCTGCTTTGGTGGTTTACACCTTTGAAATATCTGTTGTCTGTTATCATGTTCCCTGAAGTCATTTCTGGGTCCTGGCTCTGGGTTTTTGGTTACTTTAATCTCTCCTCATAAATCAGTCCCTCAATTCCCTTCATCATTTTTATTGCTTTTCTCTGAACTCTCTCCAATTTGTCTACATATTTCTAGTGTCGGGTGCCTAAATATAATTTGCTGGACTAAAAGCCATAGTTGGAAGGACCTCATCAGTTAATCCCCTGCCCTAAATATTTTCAAAGGGTCTTAGGAATACTTCTAAATATCCCTGACATTTTTTACACCACTAATGCATAACATGCATTCCTAGGACAACTTGACAATGTCATGAGGCCACTTGTTTCAAGACAACCTTAAAGGAGAGGGTAATTTTTTCATGTTCTTTCCATACATAGTAATTAAACCAACTTGAAGGGCTCTACCTCACACCTTGGCACATTTTCTAATGAATGGGGTTAAAGAAAGTTTCCAAGATACTTTTCACAGGCAACCACACAGTTAGGGAGGAAGACTGTTTCTAAATTGGCCATTGAGGTAGGGCACACTTCCCTGGCGAAATTACTATTTGTGTTTAAGACATGACACTACTCCACAAAACATAACTAATCAAGTTATAAAATACCCATAAACCCCAGAGTGGCCAAGAAAACAGTGAAAGGGAAATCCTGACATACTAGTAATAGCTGTGAATATTTATACATTTTTATAAGGTAATTTGGCAAACTGTACCCAAAATTTTTACAAAATACATGTTCTCTGACCAATGAGTAACTACTAAGTCACTCTTATGAAACTATCCTAAGAAAATAAATGAACAGGGGAAAATATGTATGTACAAGATATTTATCCAGAGACGCCGCCACCGGCCCGTGTTGCTTGTTCTCTTGTTGCTCCGCTTCCCAGCCACCCCAGATCGCAATGGAAGAAGAAATCGCCGCTCTTGTCATTGACAATGGCTCCGGCATGTGTAAAGCTGGCTTTGCTGGCGACGACGCTCCCCGGGCTGTGTTCCCCTCCACTGTCGGCCGCCCCGACACCAGGGTGTGATGGTGGGCATGGGCTAGAAGGATTCCTATGTGGGCGATGAGGCCCAGAGCAAGCGTGGCATCCTGACCCTGAAGTATCCCATCGAGCATGGTATTGTCACCAACTGGGATGACATGGAGAAGATCTGGCACCACACCTTCTACAACGAGCTGCGTGTGGCCCCCGAGGAGCACCCAGTGCTGCTGACAGAGGCCCCCTTGAACCCGAAAGCCAACAGAGAGAAGATGACTCAGATCATGTTTGAGACCTTCAACACCCCGGCCATGTACGTGGCTATCCAGGCTGTGCTGTCCCTGTATGCCTCTGGGCGCACCACTGGTATTGTCATGGACTCTGGTGATGGGGTCACCCACACAGTGCCCATCTATGAGGGCTATGCCCTCCCCCACGCCATCCTGCGTCTGGACCTGGCTGGCCGGGACCTGACAGACTACCTCATGAAGATCCTGACGGAGCGTGGCTACAGCTTCACCACCACTGCTGAGAGGGAGATTGTTCGTGACATTAAGGAGAAGCTGTGCTACGTCACCCTGGACTTTGAGCAGGAGATGGCCACAGCTGCTTCTTCCTCCTCTTTGGAGAAGAGCTATGAGCTGCCTGATGGCCAAGTGATTACCATTGGCAACGAGTGCTTTCGGTGTCCAGAGGCGCTTTTCCAGCCCTCTTTCCTTGGTATGGAATCCTGTGGCATCCACGAGACTACCTTCAACTCTATCATGAAGTGCGACGTGGACATTCGCAAGGACCTATATGCCAACACAGTCCTGTCTGGTGGCACCACCATGTACCCAGGCATTGCTGATAGGATGCAGAAGGAGATCACAGCCCTGGCACCCAGCACCATGAAGATCAAGATCATCGCCCCTCCTGAACGCAAGTACTCTGTGTGGATTGGCGGCTCAATCCTGGCCTCGCTGTCCACCTTCCAGCAGATGTGGATCAGCAAGCAGGAGTATGATGAGTCAGGCCCCTCCATTGTGCACCGTAAATGCTTCTAAATGGACTGAGCAGGTGCCAGGCACCTGCTGCATGAGCTGATTCCGAAGTATAATTTGCCCTGGCAAATGTACAAACCTCATGCTAGCCTCATGAAACTGGAATAAGCCTTTGAAAGAAATTTGTCCTTGAAGCTTGTATCTGATATCAGCACTGGATTGTAGAACTTGTTGCTGATTTTGACCTTGTATTCAAGTTAACTGTTTTTTGGTCTGTTTTATACCCTGTGCATATCTTTGATTCATCCCCTTAGTCAATGTGGTTCGGTCACTTGGTGGTTGAGTTGAGCACACTTGGAGAAATCCGCGGCTTGGCAATCTGGGTGACCGCAGCACAGATCTGTGCAGGGTATTGAGTCGGAGCTGACTGTTACAGGATTTCTCGGGCTGGCAGGACTTGGTGAACCAGTTGTGACTCCGGTCTTTTTGCTGGTCTAACAGGGTGGGAGAGTCCGAGCCTTACAACCCTGTTTCCATCCACCATCATTGTTTTCCCACCTGAATACCGGCGGTGGTTTACTTGCCTTGAGTTGGAAACAGTTCGCATTTACATCTGTAAATTTATTCATTCTTTTAATTTATGTAAGGATTTTTTTTTGTACTCACTTCTTTTAAGATGACAAATTTTTAGTTTTCTACTGTGAGAACATTAGGCCCCAACAACACGTCATTGTGTAAGGAGAAATAAAGCGCTGCAGTACAAAAAAAAAAAAAAAAAAAAAAGATATTTATCCAAGTATCATTTATGGTAGTAGGAAAATATTGGGAATAAGCTAATTTTTTTAAAGAATGACATGGGTAAGTGTAATTAAAAGAAAAGAGCACATGAGTTGCATATACAAGGACATTTAGCCTAGAGTTATTCATAGCAATGGGAAATTACGGAGATAAAAACCATCGTAAGGTGACTGGTTAAACAAGTGGTCTTTTAGCTCCATATTTACATAGTAGGAAGATGCACTGAGCTAGGCCATGAAATATGCTCATAAAAATCACTGACCTTGGGGCCGGGGAGATAACTCAGTGGAATAAGCACTTCCCTGGCAAGTGCAAGGGCTTGAGTTCAATCCCTGGTTCTGAAAAAAAAAAAAAAAAAAAATCACTGACCTCAGCCCTTGTCCACATTCATACCCTCACACGTGCCCTGTCTTTCTCTTCACTCACACTGAGCTACTGCCTGGTAACTGAGTGTTGATAAGTTGTCTTTGATGCCATTGTGAAACACTGAATCATATCTGGTGTTTCCACCACTTTTCCAGATTCTTGGCTCAGATGGAGAACAGTCATCTCGATTCCAGATGCCCAAGGCATACATTATCAAAAAAAGGACGTGGTTCTCTACTGAGAGATTCTACTGCTTTCTCTGCAGCTGACCTGTGAAAGCAAAGCCACAGCTATGTGTGGCCAGTTACTCCTATCGAGTGAGTCTCAGGTTCCTTGTACAGAATACCAGAAACTCTCTGCGTACTAATTATTTGCTTTACTTACAGGGAATTTTGCTGACTTCTCTCCAAAATGAAGGTCTCATCTTTTATCAAAACAAACAACTAAATTATGAGGCATTCCAGAAGGAAAAGAACAGAGAAACCATAAGAATCAATGCTGCTGCACTCAATTCCAAATGTAAGCTCAAGAAGTGATATATTGGTTAGGGGGCCGGGGAGATGGCTCAGTGGAATAAGCGCTTCCCTGGCAAGCACAAGGACCTGAGTTCAATCCCCAGTTCCGCAAAAAGAAAAAAAAAATAGGGAGTTATAAGGAAAAAAAGTGATATATTGGTTAGAATATTCATGTCCCCACCTGCACATACACCAAAGAGAACTAGAAAAATAATCAAGATGTGCTAGAAGATAATTTTCTCAACCTACAAGAAGAACAATACCTACAGGTAAAAAGAATTCAAACAGTACCAGGAATGTACAACAATACGACTGTGTTTGATGTCATGGAACTGTACACTTAAAATATTTAAAATGGCACATTTTATGTTAGGAATATTTCATTGAAATTTTAAAAATAGTACCAGGAAAAATTGTATAAAGTTGGATCATGATTATGTAGAATAGAGACATAATTCATTTGACCATGAAAAATATGACAGAAGACTATGTATAATATGAGCAGATCTTAGCCTTAGATATTAAAATTTCTGGTAATTATTTTCTTTTTTATAATTTCCTACATTTCCAAATTTTGTACAGTAAATATGTACTTATTTTATAATCAGAAGAATGTTATAAAGTAATATAATACTTCTCAAATCTGTCCCTGTTCACAGCAGAAGTAGAGTTCACCATAGCATAGTTAAGTTCTTCAGAGAAACACAAGAGAGGAAGAGAAATGTTTTGAAAATTGGCTGTGTAATTATAAAAGTCAAGCTCTATACTCCACCATTTGCAAGCCAGAGATCCAGGAAGGTTCACATTATAATTTAGTGAACTCCAAGTCTAAATGCCTAAGGCCTCAAGTAGCAGTAGAGGGTGGCACAATGGGTTAAGACCTAGTCAGAGTCTAAAGGCCTAAGAACCAGGAAACAGGTATCTGAGAGTAGGAAATAATGGCCCAGCTCAAACACAGAGAGTGAATTTATCCTTCTCCACAACCCACCCTACACCTTGATAAGGCATGGAGATGTCAAGCTGTAGGGTAGGTTTGGAGAAATGGATACCAGAAGTTCAGTATACACTGCAACACAGAGCAAAGCAGGTTGTGAGGTTGGAAGAACTAGGTAGGAAACAAACTGAGGTAACATCATATGCCAACGAAACCTGAATTTTTATCTTGACTAGAACTTCCAAGTAGGAAATGTTTTTTAGACAGGAAAATGATGTAGTCAGAATAGCATTTAGAAAGGTCACTCTGGAAATAGAGACATGCATGAAAGCAAGCAAGTTGAGGTCAAATCAATGGCTGCTGCATACTCCAGGCATCCACTTGACATGAAACTTCACTGCCTCCTTATTAGTCAGGTTTCCTGGGGCTAGGACAAAATACTTGATTCCCACAATTTAAAGGAGGAAAAGTCTATCTAGGTTCATGGCTTATGAGGTTGCAGTCCATGGTAGCTGGTAGCAAAGCAGTGACACCACAGACAAAGGTCAGAGTGAAGAAAAGCTGCTCATAAGAGAAGAGTATCAGCGAGAGATACTCCCTCCAACACCTACCCTACTCTCCGAGACCCGTCTCCTCCCATGGGGCCCCACCTCCTAGCAGCCTGCTCAGCCTTAGACATCCATGGGTTAATCCTGATTAATTAATCCTAATTAGTAGCACTCTGTTAGCTATTTTTCTCACTGCTGAGACAAAATACCTGACAACCACAGTTAAAAGGGGAAAGATTTATTTAGCTCAAGATTTGTAGAGGTTTCAGTTTGTAATCAACTGGCTCCAAGGCAGGGTAAAACGTGGCAGAGGGCAGCAGTTCATGTCCATGGAAGACAGCAAAAGCAAGCAAGGAAAGGAAAAAGGAACAAGCCCCTTTCTGTCCCTTACATTGCATGCAAGCTATCCACTCTGTAATGGGTGTGGCACCATACCCTTAATCCCATCAGTGGACCACGAGGGAATTACAAACTCTAGATTCAGATGCCCCAAAGAGCTTGCTTCCCCCTCCGCCCAGAGCACACGAGGTTTCAAGGGGACATCCAGACACAAACCATAACACACTCCTTGATCCAGTCACTACTCCAAGAGTTGCTTAATCCACTCACGGTAACAACCAAGATTAAGTAACACAACCCTCAAAGCAATACAAAATAAACTTTGCCCCAAAAGTTAAAAGTAACAGAGTTTGTGCTCAGTTTGTTATAAAGAATTGTTATAGCCAACTCTGGTCCTTTGTTTGAAAGGACAACATGAATAGAAATCTTCTAGCTTTGTCTGGTTGAATTGACTCAGGCCAACAGACCTGCTTCCGGCCCAGGAAGGAGTACCTCGACGCAGTGGATCCCTAGATCTTTACCTCAATCTCAAATTGGATTCTGAATCATTTTGTCCTGAATCTGCCTTGTCCTTGATCCTGAGGCACTTCATATGGTGTGCAAGCACTCAAAACTCATGCCAATTTTCTGATACTTACCCTTGTCCAGTTTATTTGCAGTAAAACTTCTCCACAGATATTTCACTACTCGTTGTCTCCAGTCCCTTTCTTTCTATTCATTCTTACATCTGCCCATCATATACCCTGGACTGAAAGAGTTTTTAGCAAGATCACCTGTGACATGCACATTGCTCAACACAATAAGTGCTCAGCTTCCACTTTATTTGATTAATCAGCATTTGATACACTGCCTCTTCAATAAACTTTCTCCTCTTGCCCTCCTGGATCCCACTAACCTGCATTTTCTTATTTCTACCTCTCAAATGCTACAGAATCCTATACTCAAAGCCTAGTCTCCACTTCTTCATCTGGAGGCCATTAGGAAACAAGGGTTTCCAATTTTTGAAACTATTGATATTTTGGACTAGATCATTCTTTATCGTGAGGACCTGGCCTACGAATTGCAGGTTATATAATGCTATCCCTGACCTCTGGCCTCTAGAGGCCAGTAGTAGTGGGTCCCTCAAGCTGTGACAAAAAGTTTCCAAGTATTAGCAGAGATCCATGAGAAGTACCACAGTGCTCCAGGTCTATAGGAAACTCTCTTTTGTTTGCTTTAGATTTTAGTGCTGTCTTCTAGTCTCAGATTTTTAAGCAGTATCTACACGCAAATGATTCCCAAATCTTAATATACAGTGCAGATCACGCCTGAGCTCCAAAAGAGAATATTCGATTTCCTATTCAAATATTTTATTCAAAGTCTAGTAGACATCCAAAACTCAACATACAGTCTTTTCTCTCTCCACTGGGCATAACTCCATCTTTCTAGTTTCTCACAATAAAAGACATGGAGTCTCTACTTGTTTTTCTTCTGTCTTACCCTGCCAAGAAATCCTTCTAACCCTATCTTCAAACTACAGGCTACAATCACTTCTCACCATCTGCACTATTACTTCCCTGGCTCAAGACTCCAAGAGCTCACACCTTGGTTGTTGCCATAGCCTCCTACCTGGCTGTCCTTGGTTGTTGTCATGGCCTCCTACCTGGCTGTCCTTGGTTGTTGTCATGGCCTCCTACCTGGCTGTCCTTGGTTGTTGTCATAGCCTCCTACCTGGCTGTCCTTGATTGTTGTCATAGCCTCCTACCTGGCTGTCTGCTTCCATCTTGGTTGCTCACCACAAAACAACCAGAATGACACTTTTCTGAATATAAAATAATGCTACTTCTTGCTCACAACCCTTCAATGGCCTTTCTTTTTAGTATATTTTTTTGTACCAGGGATCGAACTCAGCATCTTGCGCTTGTCAGGCTTGTGCTTATGTTGCTGAGTTGTATCCTCAGCCCAGTCTTCTTCCTTCAGAGAAAACCAAAGTTCATGCAAGGAACACCAAGTCCCTACTTGGTC